TCATTACAAGTGATAAAAACAACAATTTTCTTTTACTGCTTACTGAAATTCTTGGAGGTCCATAGGGATATTCCCTACTCGTGAACCAATATTCAGATTTGTCAATTAATCCAGCCATCTCCATACCCCATCCGGTAATGGGTGCCAAACAACTATCGTCTCGATACACCGTCCGGTATAAGGGTGAAACAGATTTCCTAAACCCTTAAGGTATGAGACTTCTCTGTCCCGTTCAACTGAGGCAATATCCATAGTAGGGTTCTTTATATACTGAGTCCGTCCACTATTTCCTAAGGTACCCAGTAAGCCTTTCTTACATAAATTCCAAGCATAAACTGATTACTAGTTACATACTAGTAACTTATATTTACATATCAATAGTAGGTAATGCAAATAGGTGATACGTACATCAGAAAATCTAATTGAACATTTATTGTAAAATGAACCAACAAATGAGGGATATGAAGTGAGGTAACGTAAATAACCGAGAGAGCAATTAAGTCTATCAATTTAATTCACACAATATAATAGTAAACATTTTAAGTAGTACAGGTAAAATAAATAGTAAACCATGATAAATATGAACTGATCGGTTCTTACTTCATTAGAGACTTGTAATTATTCTTAAAGTTTTTTAATTTTCAATAAATACAATATTATCGATTATTAATCTTCAATTTATATAATAGCGAATCGGGTGAAAAATTCTTATTAAATGCCCGAAACTTAAATGGAAATAAAATCATAAATTAAATGTGGAAGTGAAATAATAGAGTTTACGGTTTACATTCCTTATATAATAATTTAGAATGTCCAATAACACTACAAGAATGTCCATTCTAAAAGAACAAACGAAAATTAAAAAATAAACAAAAGACAATATACTGAGCATTCTAGGACGACCTTCACTAGCTTTTGAAGGGAGTCTGGCTGATGAACTATTCATAACCCCCTTATTGATCGGGATCTGGGTCTTGGTCTTCTTGATATGAAATAGTTAATGAAAGGGTGAGCTATACTAACCCAGTAAGAATATCACATTACTCATTGATACAGAAACTGAAAGTTGGTAAAAATCATAAAAACAACCAATGAAGCTCTTAATTTAAGTAAATTCATTTACCATAAGGAAAATTATTTATTGCATATATTTACCATTGCGAGATTTTTAAAATCGACCTATAGAAACAATAACTCAAATAAAATTCCAATCTCATTTTTAAATGAGCAATAATAACCACTTTCTTTTTTTATTTGCTTATTAGTATCTTTGGGAACCCATAAGGATATCCCACTACGCGTGAACCAATATTCAACATTGTCAACTAACCGGTCGTCCTCATACCTCATCTGGTATGAGTTCCAAAAGTACTATCCCTCAATACTCTGTTTGGTATGAGGGTGAATCGCGTTGTCCCCATACCCCGTCCTGTATGAGCGCTAAAAATACCATTCATCGATACTTCGTTCGGTATGAAGCAATGTTTGCGGTAGGGTTCTTTATGTACCCGGTCCGTCCACCATCTCTTATGATATCCAGTAAGGTTGCCATTCATTAATTCACATGACCAAATAATTTTTCGTTTGTATATTAATTTTTAATTTCACAA